CAAACCCTGCTCTGCTTGGCCCCATCCCCCTAATCCCTGCCCCTCAACCCCAGAGTTTAAAAAAAACCAAAAACCCTGGCAGAGGGACAGGCCCAGTGGCCTCAGCCCGGGCCCTCCTGTCCCCCACTGCCCTGTGCTGCCCCAGCGGGCTCGGCCAGGAGGCCCCAGTGCCCCCACGCCCCTGCTTCTAAGGTAAGTAGAGGCTTTCTTTCCATTTTTTTCTGGGGTTTTATTTTGTTTGTTTTTTGTTTTTTTAAGTGATGGTGCCTGCGGTTATGGGGCAGCCATGGAGTCCTGGGGGTGCGAGTGGGGAATGGGACTGGACAGGGCAGGGCAGCCATTGGGGGGGTCTGGGGGAACGGGGGCAGGGGCTGGGTGGGGCAGCCATCAGGGGGGCTGCATGGCCCCTGTTGAGAGGTCAAATCCCCTGTTGGGGGGCCGTAATCCTTGTGTGGGGGCCAAACCCTCTGTTGGTGGGCCATAGCCCATGTGTGGGGGCTGAATCTCCTGTTGGGGGGCCATAACTCCTGTTGAGGGGTCGTAGCCCCTGTGTGGGGTTCAAACCCCCTTTGGAAGGGCAGCAAAATATATATACATGTATTCATGAAACCTATATTTATATTTTGCTTTATTATTATGATAAGGGACATGCTTTAACACTGTAGATATATCAGTAAAACATTGTCCAGCTGATCGCTGTCTCTGTCTCACTCTCTTTATCTCTTTATAGTGGTCTTTTGTTTTTCTTGGAGAAACATGGATTTGGGGGTATTTTACAGAGTGATTTTGGGATTTTTTTAATCAGGAATTTTTCAGTTTTCCAACAGGGAACACCAGAATTCTTGCTAGGGAGTCTAGTAGCAGGAGAAGGAGCCTGCCTGCTCAGAGCTGGCACCTTGGACCCAGCTGGCTGTGGCTGACCTCCTGGACAAATGGGGCCAGGACATGCTTTGACATTTCAAAGAAGGCCACCACACTCAGAACATATTCTGGGCAATAGTGCCCAGATGGCTAGGCAAGGATCACACGTGGCAGTGGTGCCGCACAGAGGCTAACCCTGCAGCCACAGTCCACTGGCAGCTGGCCGCGAGGGGCGGATGCCTCTACTGACTCTGCCGTCCCCCTCCGAGTCTGGCAGGGGCCCAGCACGGGCAGCCCCCACTGCCAGAGTGCTGCAGTGGCTAGAGGGTGCAGGGAACTCTCAGGGCTGCTTCAGCAGTCCAGCTGGCACAAGGGGTGGTGTCCCCAGGTACCAATTGGCTGGGCCCCAAAAGCTCCTAAGAGCTAGTAGCCCTGAGCTACTTGCCAGGGTGGCTTTTTATACTGCTGGGGACAGCACAGGTGCTGGCCCTGGGCTCTAGCTCTCCCTGGATGCAGATCTGGAAGGAGCCAGGCAGGGTTACTTTGCCCCAAGTGGCACAATTTGCTGCACAAGAAAGTTCATGTCTGAGCACGTGTGCTGAGGCAAAAAGCCCTGGCTCAAATTTGCACCACTTCTATTTGAATGGCTGCAAGTGCATGTGCTTGCATGTGTGGACATGGCCCTCTAGGTCATATGACATGTAATTCATGCCAATAGCATTTTCATAGTTGACAACTTTGCTACCTTCTTTCCAAGGCATTTCCTAGTTCCCCCTTTTCTACTGCTTCTTATTCTACCTACTTGACTTAAGGACTCTTTACAGTTCTGTCTAATATGTTCTTGTTCTCCATCATATTGCCCTACCTCACCAGTCCTTCTCTGCTAATGATACAACCTCCCACAATCACCAGAACTTTTCAAAGATGTTGGCCAGCCAGAGTGTCTCCCTGGAGGACCCAGCCTCAGGGCATAGTCTGGGACTGTGTCCTGCTCCCCCTTTTTTTGCTTCATTTTTTTTAGACCCCTGGCTATCCAGGGGTCTAATTTTCTCCCTGTGCTGGAATTTTGCAGCACAGGGAATATTTTTTTCATTTCTGCACATGCCTCTTGCCCTGCCTCAAAGGAGTTTGAGGCAAGGCAAGAAGCACATGCACACTTGTCTGGATGCACCTGAGAGGGGTAAAGTCAGTAATTTCAGAAATGATGAAAATAAAGAAGTGGCAAGATACAGATAGAAACTGGAGAGGCAGGAGAGGGAAGTGTCAAGCCTGAGCAACCATTAGGGAACAATAATAAGTCAGGGGCTAACGTTGTCAGGAGTGAGAGAGACGCAAAGAGTTT